TATATATATATATAAAATGTGTGTGTGTCTGTGTGTGTGTGAGAGAGATGACTATGAGTGTGTATTCTGCATGTCACCTTGTATGTTTGTCTCTGCTCTCAGCTGCAACAGAACAATGTGTTTGTTTTAGGATGTTGTCGAGTATAAGCGTGCAGTGTGTGTGTGTGTGTGTGTGTGTGTGTGTGTGTGTGTGTGTGTGTGTGTGTGTGTCTGTTTGACATTGGCATGATGTGTGAAATTTGTGTGGCTCAGTGGTCTGTGCATACTTGCACATGTGAGTATACAGGCACATTTGCGTGCATGCATACGTTTGCCGGGTTTAGGTATGTGCTTGTATGAATGTGTGCTTGTCATGTCTTTGATTTAATTAGATGAATTTTAACGAGGCCCAGATTAAATCCCCCAGATGTCTCAGCTGTAGTCCCCCCCACCTCCACCAACAACAACCTCTACTTCATCCCCCACTCCAAACCACCACCATCACCTCTGCCGGTATCCATGGTAACACTCTTCTTCCCCCTGTGGATGGGGCTCTAATTAGAGCAGCTATTATGGGCTGGTTTTAGCAGGGCAGGGTAGGGTGGAGTGGAGGGGTTGGTAGGGGGCACAGGCGGCTGCAGAGTGGGTAGTGGGCTAGTAGGCCGGGCTGCAGAAGCTTTTGGGAGTGAAGGCTTAGATGAAAGACTCAAGAAATCATGTTTTTGATCTCCCGCAGTCTCACAGACAGTTGGACCACTAGTTTACCAATCAGACTGTCAGCTGAAAATGATAGATTCTGAACCATGCCCAGTCTAACACAGTCTTTTTTATCTCTTCACTGTTTTTCTCATTTCACCTCTTCTCCCTTTGCACCACTCACTCTCCCACTCCATGTCCTCGAGATGCCCCTGAATCTTCAAAACTGTCTGTCTGCCCATATCCTCTCTATGCCTTCACATCTGACTCGGTCTCTCTTCTCTATACTTCATTTATTCATATCTGCCTAAAATCTGTGTCTTCACCTTTTACTCACCCTGCTCATTTAAACAGCCCTCTAACTGTTTTCATTCTTTTTTTTCTTTATTTCCATTCTCTCTTTGCCTTAGACTGACTTCTCTCTATATACCCTTTATTTCACCCCGCTGCCTGTCCTTGCCTTTTTATGTACCCTTGCCTTTTCCATTTTCCACTCTCTTTCATCCAACCATTCTATCTCTTTTACTTATCTTCTTTTATTTCATTTCACTATTTCTCCCATACTTTCACCCTCCCACTATTCCTTGGACCTTGTATTTCTCTTATTTGTTTTGGTTATTTTTTGGACTCTTTCATCCAATTTCTCTGTCTTTTCTACCTGTCTCAGTTCCTCCACTGATCCAGCCATTTGACTTTCCTCCGACTTCCATCGGTAAATTGATGTACATTGCCTGCGTGGTGTCGTCTGGGGACATGCCCATACGCATCACATGGCGCAAGGATGGCCAGGAGATCGTGCCCTCTTCGGGCATCACTATCGACACGAAGGAGTTCATGAGCTCCCTCCAGATATCGAAGGTGTCGCTCAAGCACAATGGCAACTACACCTGCATTGCCAGCAATGATGCTGCCACTGTCAGCACAGAGAGGCAGCTCACGGTTACAGGTAAGAAAAGAAAGAGCACAAAAGAGAGAATATGAAAGAGATATTTAGAAAGGGATGAAGGACAAATGGAGGAAAAAGGAGCACTTTGGAGATTTGGTATTCCACTTGAATAAAGATGGAGGACCTGGATGATAGAAATAAAAATGGTCAAAAATCAAACAGCAGAAGTGATTTTGCACTGGATCCTTAACTTCTAATTTTGATATTCCAATACCTTTTTGGTTTAATACCAAATTTTTCAAAACACAACACAACACAAAAAAGATAAGATTTTTAAAGTATTACAGGACATCTCCACATCCCTCAAATAACATTTGATTTTTCTCTCTTTAATTATCAGCACATTAACACTCGAAGAAAGGGTTATTTTTTGCGAAGTCTATGTCACCTCAGACAAAGCCTTTTTTTGAACAACTTGAAATATTAAGGTAAAAAGTGTAACCTGCACGATGAGAGGATGCAGGGATACTTTTAAACGGTGACTGAATAGTTTGATGAGTTTAAAATGTATATGAATTACATTCCATGGCCTTTGCAGTCTCATTTCAGTTGATTAACTTGTTAAACAGTGCTCTCCATCATCATCAACTATCAAAATTTCAACTGAGGATAACTCTTAGTATATGTTGTTTTTTTTTAATTCATACTCATCTCCATTTCCTCACTAAACATTAGAGGTTATTGAAATAATAACAGAAATATGAATCTCGTGTTTAATATTCTCCAGTGCCTCCTCGGTTTGTGGTGCAGCCCAATAACCAGGATGGGATCTATGGGAAGTCAGCTATCCTGAACTGTTCTGTTGATGGATACCCTCCTCCTAAGGTCATGTGGAAGCATGCCAAAGGTGCATTAGGTACATGAGTTTTATACGATCCTAAATTCTTTACTTATGTACTGTGATGTGCCTCCGTCAGCTGTTCTCTGCACATTGTCATATCTATTCTGTGCAAAGTAAAATGCATATGCTGGCAGTTAACTACATCATAATCTCATGTTCCTTTGCTCACTCTCTCTCTGTCCAGCGGGTATTGGGAACCCACAGCAGTACCACCCTGTGCCTCTGACGGGCCGTATTCAGATCATGAATAATGGCTCTTTACTTATCAGACATGTCCTGGAAGAGGATCGGGGCTTCTACCTCTGTCAGGCCTCCAACGGCGTGGGCTCAGACATCAGCAAAAGCATGGTCCTCACAGTTAAGAGTGAGTATACAAACTTGCATTGGTTAATGTAGCAGGGTATGACTTCTTCGCTACGCAGACGACTGCAGTGAGGCCATCTGGGATGCTCCAGCACTCCCTCTTTATCGGTCCTCATCCACATGCACTCACTAACCGTGTCAAACCAATGAGCCAGCTCGCAACACTCTCTCTTTGGGCTCAACCGTACGCGCACATACATGCACCATCGTAGACTCGAAGAGCAAAGGTGACCGTGGACATAAGTGAAAAAACATGCAGTATAGAATGAAAAAAAAGTGTGTGTGTGTGTGTATCTGCGGTAGACATTGACAAAGCAAGCAACTCAGCGATTGATCTTTTGACTCTCGGGATCTGTCTACAGACGATCAAAATGACTTTGAGCTTAACCATTATCTGCAATCAATCTCTTCAACCTGCCCTCGACGTCAGTAACACCCTATGTAATGCAATGTGAAACTCCACATGGAGAATGTGTATGCAAACACACACAGACACATTGACTGTCAGTATCTAGTAGAGCGTTATATGATGCCAATATATTTTTTACTATGCAGTACACTGACCTTGACCAAAAATCTGTAATCACGACAGAGATGTCAAGGCTTAATATTCTGGCACCCTTTGACACTTGTACACGCAGACACATATAACAAGCTGCACATAAATCTATCTACTAGTTTCATCATGTTTTTCTATCACAGGGTTGCCCCTCTCCCTCTCTCTCCCTTTCACTTTCTCTCTCCCCTTCTGGTGTTAGTGTTATTGATTGAACCGTTCCTCTCCTCTGCCTCCCTCAATTCTGTCTGTTTCACTCAGCGGAGAGGGAGGAAAAGAGGAAAAGAGGGAGGGTGAGATGAATAAGTGATGAAAACAAAACAGCAGAAGCCTCCTCAGATCGATATTTTGTGTGTGTAAATGAGTGCGTGTGCCCGTGTGTCTGTTGGGGAGAGAAGATTGAGTGTGTAAAGGGATTTTGTGTATAGAGTGTACACGAAAGGTAGAGTGTATCGTTTTTGCCTCTTCATTCACCTAGACCCCAGTGTTAACTATTGGGGAATGAGGAAGGAGGTTTATTGACTTTACCTCATTGACCACAGCTCTTCATTACTTTACTGCAATGGAACTTGGCTACTCTGAACTCCACCTTTTTCAACTGCCAGTTATCCCACCTTTCTCCTCTCTGCTATTTCCCTCCTTTCTGCTTTTCTACTTAAACCCTGCTTATTATCCACTTACTCTTTCTTTTCCTTCCTCCCTCTCCCCTCTTTTATCTGCTTCTGTCATCTGACATCCCTCTCATCAATCTGTTTACTGTTACCATTTCTGCCTGCTTCACCCCATTTATTCTTGCCTTCTCTTCATCTCACACTCCATTTCCCGTCTCCTTCCAGTCCCAGCAATGATCACCAGTCACCCCAACACCACCATGGCTAAGAAGGGTCACTTGAAGGAGTTGAACTGCACAGCCAGGGGAGAATGGCCCATCATCATCCGCTGGGAAAGGGGTGACACCGTCATCGACCCCGATCGCAACCCCCGATACTCCATTACCACCAGTCCCAATGAAAAGACTGATGAGGTGCTGTCAACACTCAAGGTAAAAAAAAAAAAAAGAAGACTTATATATAGTAGAAGATCTAGATCATTTCTGATGAAATGAGACATTAATGTCTCACCGACTCTTATTCAGTTGACAGATGCATGAGCTTTAAATCTTTTCTTTTGATTTACTTTTTCACACCCAGACTACTACCCTGAATTTTTCAACATATTACCCGACAGCATTGTACGTGTGAACACTAATGACAAACTTCATTTAGACATTAAACGGTCTTTGTCCTCCTAGCTCCCTACCATAAAATTAGCAGTTAACCGATCAGAAGGTGCAACTTCAGACACAGTCCAAAACAGAAAATCACACGGTGATTTTCCAGAGATTCCAGAGTTCACGTGTGAAAACAGCTGTAACTTTCACCACGCAAAGCAAACTATTTGGTACAGTGTCAACTTTTGTACCTTCCTTGTCTGTGCTTCATAGCGTTAAGATTAGAAAGAAGATAGCAAAACCAGTTTGTGTGTTTGGGGTTGTTAGAAATTCGAATTGTGCTGGCCACAAATTTAGCAAACAGTTAGAGAAATTAATTTATTATTAAATTAATTTATCAGAATACAAGATTAGATATACTTTATTATCCCAGATTCAAAACAGAAATTCTAATTCTCAATATCTCTATGTCTTAATTTTCCTCTAACATACCGTGGCAGTCATAGCAGCCACGGGTTGTCTCCTAATTCATTTAAAACGGAAATTCTGCACTGGCCAGGCTCAAATGAAAGCACGGAGCTTCTTTAGCCTGCTGATGCCATGTTTTTCAAATATTAACAAAAGGTAATGGAGGGAGACGCATAAATGAGGAGCAACTTTGTGTTCACTGAATTCAGAGAGTGTCACAACCTCACCGATGATCAAGTGTTTTGTATGTTTTGTCGGTGTATGTGTACCTCACACACCAACCAAATGTTTTTTAGGCAAAAACTAATTCTTGGCACTCAAACTGCAGTGGGTGCCGAGTGTACAGGTGTCTGTTGCACCTTTCAGTGAGGTGAACAGAGTCGCCTAAAAACCAAACAAAACATGTTCAAGCAAAAACTTTCACCCAGGTGCTTCTTCATCACAAAGCTTTGCACAATTTGTCTATGCAGACATAGAGTTGTTTCTCTCGTTGACATTTTTTTCTTCGTGCCTTTCTCACTTGAGCTCAAGCCAGCAGAGCGTGAGGATTCAGTCTTCTTCTCTTGTCATGCCATCAACTCTTACGGAGAGGGACGAGGCCTTATCCAGCTCACTGTGCAAGGTAAGCGTCCATGTGCAAAAGCATGTACTGTACCATCCTCACTTTAATACCATAAAAGCTACAAAACTACGCTCTTCTTTCTTCACCTTTGAACTTGTCTTTCATGTGGTCCTTTTTTTCCTCCTTTTTCTTGCCTCCTTTTGTTCACTTTGTCTAATTTTAAACCTCAGAGCCTCCAGACCCTCCAGAGCTAGAGGTGCGAGAAGTGAAAGATCGTAGCATGAATCTCAGGTGGACACAGAGATTTGATGGGAACAGCGTAATTACATCATACGATATCGAATACAAGAACAAAACAGGTGAGTAAAAGTCAAGTCGGTGATTTATTTTATTAAAGTATTGCAAAAGACCCTAAAAGTACCAGTATATTCTACACTGAAAATTGCTAGGCTGTTTGTGCTTGTTTTATTTGAGCCTCTTTATTTGAAGCTATTTTAAACTGAATGCCAATAGCATTCCCAACTTCCCATGTCCATCCAAAGTGTTGAAGTAGTAAAATGTGTTATTTTCTCCTGTTTTGTCAGATTCCTGGGAACTAAAGCATGCCACCCGAAATATCTCTCCAACCAACAACCAGGCCAACATAGTGGATCTTCATCCTGCATCTGTCTACAGTATCCGCATGTACTCCTACAATGCTATAGGCAAAAGCGAGGCTAGTAAGGAACTCACTATCAGCACAGAGGAAGCACGTAAGTCTTTTGACAGCACTGCTTTCTACTCGCGTGAATGTAGGCAAATATTTTATTTTTTGCTTGTTGTATGAGCAATTAGCGTTTGAATCTGTTATGACTCTGACATCTGTCCTTGACTAATCATTTTGAATGCTAGTCTCAATAAAACTGAAAGAAACCTCTTTTGATCTAAATATTCAAGAAAAAGTACGAAACGTGGAAATGTTAATGTTGCATAATGTTTTTCTGACATTAGTGCAATGCCTCCACTCAGTCCCATTGTCTCTCTTGTTATAGAGCCTGATGGTCCTCCAATGGATGTCATCCTGCAGCCTGTGACATCTCAGAGTATCAGGGTCACATGGAAGGTAATGCATTTCAAGGATCTGTCTCCTGACCAGCTTTGCCTTATATTATTTTATCATTATTTCTTCAGATTAACTTATTTTTCATCTTAATGTATGTGTGGAGGTGTCAATGTCATTACACAATCTAGAAATATGAATATTGATTCTAATGTGAGAACCTTTTTTCAAATGGAAACCTTTAGGCTCCAAGGAAGGAGCTGCAGAACGGTGTCATCCGCGGTTACCAAATCGGTTACAGAGAAAATGGCCCAGGTAGTAATGGGCAGTACAGCATCGTGGAGATGAAGGCCACTGGAGACAGTGAGGTCTACACACTGGACAACCTGAAGAAGTTTGCCCAGTATGGTGTGGTTGTCCAAGCTTTCAACAGAGCAGGCACAGGACCTTCCAGCTCAGAGATCAATGCTACAACACTAGAAGACGGTGAGCAATACACAACTGTGTCAACATACGTGTAAAGGGATTGTAGGACAGTCTGTAGGACTGTATAATAAGGTAAATGTTGGCTACCTTAATGACCTGTAACAATATTGGAACAAATAAAACAAATAAGTGCAAATGTGCAGTGGAAAAGGACAAAGTCAGTCATATGAAATATCAGCCTCTGCACTATTTCTCATGCCATTGTACTTTTTGCTTTTGCAGTCTGGTCTCTTTCAAATCATGCCGTGCTGTATAACCTCAAATTACTACATTCGCTCTGTTGCCTCAGCAAGAATGAATATTGGCTGTTGAAATTCCAATCCCTTATAAATACCATCTACACAGATAACCTCTGTGATTCATGTAAAGTGAGTGTAGACAGAGTGTATATACTGCAATACGTCCCGATCATTATTGGGTAGAAGAGTTAATGCTGAATGGATGAATGACTAAAACACAAAAAGCACTTAGAGAGCAAAACCCTCTTCTTAGGCTGGAAAGTGTTGCACAAGATTCATAGTTTACCAAACAAACACATTAGAGATTTGTTAATACTTTTGGGGGAAAAAAAACTGATGACAAAAATTGACCAACAAAAAGACAAAAATGTGCAACACGAGCTTAAAAGCAGTTTGGGAAAGATGGAAGAGGCTGGTGTAGTAAACTGATGGCGCAATCACAATAGAGCAATGAATCCTTGTCCTTGTTTATTGTCCTGTGATTGAATTTGATCCATTTAGCTTTTCAACCTGACATTCAAGGGCTAAACTTTATATTGCAAGGGCAGACACCTTCTTAAAAAAATTATTTTATCATTTATTTATAAAAAAAATTTTTTATATTAAGTATTGGTTTCTATGCCGACTGCATTAATTGACTTTTGGCTGCTGATAAAACAAATGAAAGTCACGACAAGTTGACAGTTGTTATACTCATAATTAGCATTATGGCAGTCACTATTTAGGTAGGCAAATCATATCCTGCTATATCATCTTTTTGACCATAATTAAAAAAAGTTAAACATCACATCAAATTAAATTAAGATATGCAATTAAGATCAAACTGTTTACTGACAACATACAAGGTGAAGTATTGTAATTTCCTTATAGACATCTATACGGACTTCTTTTCGCTTTTATCCATTCGAAAGAATTAAGGTTGATGCATCGCCTCCAGTTTTTGGACTAGGCGGCTGCATCTGTCGCACTTCTTGTGTTCTCATTTGTCTTTTCTCACTCTTTGTTTCTTTAGCATTGGGCAGTTCATCTTCATGCTAAATGCAGACAGCCATCTTTGTTACATACTATCTCTCTCAATCTCCGTTTATCTACATTTGCATGTTTGTACCACGTACAAACAAACACACATACACCAATCACATACACATTCGTCCTTCCAGTGAACAGTTGGCTTAGCCTCATTGGTCTAGAAGAGACAGAGCCCTCCAGTTCTTTCCTGTGGCTGTCACCGTGGCGACAGTGATATTGATGGCCATTATGATAATAGTGATAACAACAAGCATACTAAAAATAATTATAATTAGCTTGTCTCTCTGTTTGTCTCTCTCTCTTTCCCTGTGCTAGCTTCCTGCTGTAATTATCCACAGCTGAGCGCATTGTCTCCCTGATCCCTCTTTTCATCTTTTTCTGCCCTTCCCTTGCTCCCCTTGCTTTTAACTCTCTTCCTCCCTTCTTCCTCTGCCCATCACCCGCGTGTCCTCCTCCCTATAGCCCGAGTTCATCATTGTTATTTTCCCCAAATTAATGCAGTCATTTATGTAAGGTTTATTTTGTTCATTTGTTTTGTTTTTTTATTTTAAAATATCTGTATAAGCAAGCCCTATTAGAGACACCCATTTGAACCCACTAACCTTCTTGATCACATTTTTAGTCTTATTTTGCTTCTGGTAAAGGTGGGAATGGGGTTGTGTTTGGTTGCATTCTCATTATTTGGATATGGAAGCTAAAGTTTTTATTCATGCAAAACCATGTTTTAGTTTTCTGATCCTCCTTTCTCCTTTCCCTCCAGTCCTCCATCCTCCTCCCTCCTCCTTTTTCTTCACCAGCTGCAGAGAAATTCCCTGGTGGACTTGGCCCAATCCTTCTCTTTCATTACACTGTCTTTCAGTCAGCACTCTTCCTCTCTTCCTGCGCTTCCTTCTCTCACAAGTTGACTTCTGTTCATCTTCAACAGTGGTCTTTATTCAAAGCCTGAATGACTCGTGGTCAGTGGTAGCCAATAGAAAGGACACCTGGACTGGCAGAGACAGAGGGAGGCTTGTACAGAGAAAGAGAAATGGTCCTATACATCAGGCTTGACACATGGCATGGTCTTTCATCTATCACCTGTTTACTCACTTTAAGTTTGATATGGAAATGTATTTTAGAGTTTCAGGAAGGTCTGTTAATAGATTTATTAATAAACTAACTACCAAAGTCATATCTTTATTTAAAAATAATCTGCACAATGTTTAACTTCAGGCTGCAGATACCCCTGAAAACTCAATATCCATATAACCTCAATGAACTTTAGAAATCTAATGGCGACACTGGTTTTTCAAAATAGTTGAACTGAAAAATATATGAAATATATTTTTCAAAACATAAAAAAAAATTCCCCGCTCGCCCCTGC